GGCCGGGGAAGGCAGCAGCCGGGGCCGCCGGCTGGCTGTAGGTCGGGAACTGCTGGGCTTGCTGCGAGGGGGTCTGCTGCTGGCTGTAGCCTGCTGGGAAGGCAAAGAGCAAGGTGAGAGAGAGAGCACAGAACCGAGGGTGCCTGCAGCAGAACCTTCGTACAGTGACAAACACAAAACACGCAGCAAGCACAAAGAAGGCAAACCAAGAACGAACTGCGAGTTTTCTTGCCCTTCATGTCAGCACGCTGCCTGGTTTCTTGTGCACTACCCTGGCAGCACAGCAACAGTGAAAACAGTATAAAATAGTCTTCCCACGGCTGACAGGAAATTAAAAAAAATTACTAATAGTATTTTATCATCGCATCACAAAAAAAAAAGTCTTCATTGACAAGGCAAATCGCCACCTTTTTTCCCAAATAAAAACTCAAAACTAAACTGCCATGAAAATATTGTTAGGGTTTAATATAATTCATAACTTTGGCCATATCATAGGTTATTTTCAGTTCTTGGGGGTTAAATATGAAAAAGTTGTGCAGAATAAAATACTTGAGGACAAAACTTCCACTTGATTTTTCTGGGTAAAACCAGTTTCCAAAAGGAATTTCTCTTACTGAAGACTTTAATGTAACAAAAATGCTTTTTATGAAGAAATAGCTACTTTTATCCATCATGAAACACACCTGCAGCTACTTGCAATGAAACCTCTCCAGTGACTGGAATCCTGTCAGCATTAAACACCAGACACACAAATTACTAGAAGTACACAGTCCTAAACAGAAAGAGTAAGGATTGAAGAATGCACTGCAGTAAATTCTGAAACTCACCTTGAAACTGGGGTCAAAATTTACTCATGAGAAACCTTTGCAAGCTCCATTTTTACTACCGTGAGTATGTAACCACATTGTTGGCCTAGGAGTTCAGCTAGAGTGGGCATGCATCCTGCTCTTGGGGGACATGGGTATGAAAAGAGATCATACTCATGGGAACAACAGTAAAACAAACAAAATCCTGCAAGTCAAGACTTTCAAAGGTTGCTGTCACGAGGTCCTCAAAAAAAAAAAAAAAGACTATTTCTAAAAGATTAAGTTAATCTTTAAATAAGCTATGAGAAACAGAGGAGCCCCGGGATCAGTTTTGGCGGTGTTTCATTCTTACTTGAAGATGCTGTTGATTAGAATGCAGAACTCACGTAGCACTACAGCTTTCACAGGAACACTCCAGTAAAATAATGGATTAGATGATAGTAGGATATGACTAAAAAGCAGACAAACTCCACTCAGTTTTTCCCCCCACTCAGTTTTTAAGCCTAGAGAAAGTCAGATAGACTCTTCTACTTCCAAGAGGCTTGTTACTTCTGCAATTAAACTTCAGAAAGTCTGTCACATATGTGGGTGTGAGAAATCTGCAGAGACAAGATACCATTTAGACACCCAAATTAACCATCTCACGCACAGTGCACAGGAAAAAGGGCTGAGGCATAAACCTTCAGTTCCAAGTCTTTTGGTGTTCTTATCAAAGATAAACATGGAATTTCTTCCTAAACTCAGCAAGTATTCTCATCTACATCAAAATTAATGCACTCCCACTATATATACTGCACATGAAAAAGGCCACAGAAACTCTATTCTGAGTCACTTGGGAGTCTTGTTTATTTTAAGAAAGACTGTTTAAAACAAGGAACGATAACTGCTTTGTATCATTTTCCAAAAGCATTAAGGAACTTGCAATTTGTTATGGCATCTGCTGTTACAGGTTCATCCCTGTGCTTTAGCTGGATTATGATTCCTAGCATATACCATGCATTATTAGATGCCAGCTGCTTCTAAAGTAAATAACTGAAAGTTTTGAAGTCAAGTTTATTTTGGGTATATGCAAAAGCCAGCTTTTCATATTTAACTGTACATAAACCACTAGTGCACTGAAATGTTCTTCTGCTAAAAGTCTACTGGGCACCTTTACTTGAGGTGTCAGCAAAATCAACAACTAAAAAAACCTATCACTTGAAAGCTTCTCAGAAATTACAGTATTTATAACAGTGAAGGATATACTAAATAACAACTGTAATCAGTGCTCACATCGCTAAATTTTGTACGTGGAAATCATTCTAGATGCAAGAAATAGGGGCCATCTTTATACATCTCTGATATATAAGGAAGCTAAATTGGGATCTTTTAGTCACTCACTTGCCAGAAGTTAATCCTTAAGGCTGCTCATACTTCAGGTGATTGATT